TTTTTTTTTTTTTTTTTTTTTTTTTTTTTGGTTGTTGTGTTTGTGGTGCTCTAGATTTTTGTTATGTGATCTATTGGTGCAAGTAGTTCTCATATATAACATTGTACTTTGCTTTGGTTTCTACTCAGTCTGCACCTGAAATGCCAGTCCAAGCTCGCTGGTCTCATGTCCCTGCGTCACCTCTTCATTCTGTTCCCATCTCTCATCCCTTGCAGCAGCAAGCTGAATGCGCATTGCCTTCTAAATTTGGGCACGGTCATTCTGTGGATCAGTCATTGAATACTAATAGGTTCTTGGAGTCTCATCCTTCTGAAGCCTCTGATGGTACCCCCAGTTTTACAGTTGCAACAGATGCCAATGCAGCTCAGTTTCCTGATGAATTGGGCCTTGTGCATTCTTCTAAGTCTGGGGCTACTGGTGGTTCTGCTCAGAGTCTTGTCAGTCAAAGCTCCTCCGGATGTGTTAATGCAGATATTGGCAAAAATGATACTCTCAGAAACCGCGTTAGCGACAACGGTAAAGAGCCGGGCAGCAGTGGTTTCAAAACACAATCCCAACAGAAGAATACATCTGCTCAGCAGAGTCAATCTGCAGGCTATAACTATCACAGGGGTGGTGGGATGTATCAAAGAAATATGGCTGGAAATGATTGGTCCCATCGCAGAATGGGTTTCCATGGCAGAAATCAGTCTTTGGGTGCAGAAAAGGGCTTTCCATCTATTAAGGTGAAACAAATATACGTGGCAAAGCAAACCATCAGTGGGACAAAAACCACGGGATGAGCAGACTGCATGGTTTAGAGATCTTGATAGGGAAGGATCTGTTTTTGAGAATATTTGTCAGTGGGACATTCAAGCTAGTTTTGGTACCTTCTTCCATTTACGGCTTCTGAAAATAACTTAATTTGGACTTAGATAACTGGTTGGTGATTATAGTGATCCTCTCAATTTTGTCCGAAATATGGATTACTAAGTTGTGGTTTGGTTGCTGAGATTTGAAATTAAAACCTGTGCGCGGATGTTATCTGCAAAAAAATTTCAGCTCCTTTTCGCTTGGTTGCTTTTCATCAATTTAGCTTGCGTTTGGACATTATTCACGCGGCATCTAAAAATCTTAGTAAATTTAAGTTTGTCCTAAAGTTTCTATTAGGTGGCACTTTCGCTATTTCAACTTTATGCGAAGTTTTGCCGGATGTTTAAGCTAGCGTTTGACCATAGATTTTCAAATTTATTTTGAAAAATCTAATTTGGGTTAAGTTTGGTTTGAAGATGAAAATGTGTTGGGACATGTTTTCAAAATGTATTTTATTTTATTTTTTTAAAATTTGAAACTTGACTTATACCCACAAGTTCTAAAAACTATCACAAATACCTAACATTACCTTCATCAATAATATTTATTATCACATATCATAGTCCTTAACATAAATAAATTTGGTATAAAATATCAATAACATTCATTATCATTATCACAAACTATAGTCCTGAACATAAATAAATTTGGTATAAAATTATCATTTTTATACAATGAACTACATAATACAATATCAGATGACCGAGAAAACGAATTAGCATTGTTACAAAATAATAAATTGTGGGCTATTTTATAAAATATAAAAGTTTGGGACAATTTTTAAAAAATATAATAGTAATAATTTGGGCCAAGCTGGTTTTGAAATTTGGAGTTTGGGTTTTGAAATTTGCCAAAATATAAGTAAAATTTATGAACAAACATGTATTGGACAAAATCAATAGCCAAACGGTCCTGAGTAAAAAGGGATCTTTCGACAATTAAATTTGGGTCAGAGCATGGCATGTTTCTTGATATGGCGCTACTACATCGAATGTGATGGTAGAAAGACACGATATATTTCGCTGTTGAAAGGAATATAAAGACAAAGTATGAACTCTTTCAAGAATTCCATTTTCGTTGCTATGGATTCGTACTTGCAAATATGCTTCAGTATGGCCATAACAGTTACCGTCAATTAATTTCTGAGACAATTTGTTAAAGTAAAGATCAAGCGTCCTCACAAAAACCAAAACCGATACTCTGTTGTCCTATTTCTTTTCGATCTAATCTTGAAATTCGGACCGTTTTCCTACATATAATCTTTATTTATAATGGCATACTTGTACAAAAGTTGGCCCAGTTCACTAGAAAATTACTATACTTAAATATTTACGCATAGTTACTTTATGTTTTGAATTTTTCTTTCTTAACTCTATGTTCAATCAAATATCAGAAAAAACTCTTTTTAATGCTAAATTGATTTTTATTAAAAAAAGTTGAAAAAAGAAATCCGAGTCACCTCTTGTTTTTTCTCATAAAAATTGAAATAATTGCAACCCTACTACTTATAACTACAAAAAATACTCAACAACATAATTTTCCTACTACTCCAAACTACGTACCCAACCAAAAAGCTGAAAAACAAAAGAACAGACTTAAAAAACAAGCGGGGAAAAAAAGAAAAAGACAAACAAGGAAAAAGAAACAGCGTTCCCAGATAAGACAAACCATAATAAACTTAATAGAAAGATCAGAGCGACATATCTTTGGTTATCCACTTGACAAGTCCATCATCTTCCAACGTGTCCCAAAAATCATCACCTGCCACATTTACCTCTCCATTACTCACCCCGTTTTGGACTTGTAATTCTTCCACTACCATTGGCAACTTATTATTATGATCAGTACTACTAACTGTAGTAGCATATTCTGAAATTGGAAAGTTGGTTTTGGCCTTTTCTCCTCTAAATTCAATAGCCTTCTTGTCATAAGCTCTAGCAGCTTCTTCAGCAGTAACATAAGTACCAAGCCAAACTCGTTGCGCTTTATGTGGGTCTCGAATTTCTGCTGCCCATTTTCCCCACGGCCTCTGTCTCACTCCTCTGTATTCCTTCTTCGTATTTCTCCTTCTTTTCCTTCCCTTCTGCAACTCCAAATTCTCAGGCTTTACATGAAAAGAAGTACGACACGCTAGATAAGTGGTAGCTGACGCAGTTGGCTCCACAATGCTCCTACGTGTCAATGACGTGGCTGCACTTGCATTTTCAATTTCCCTTAAAAGCTGAGCTGCGCCTTCGCCGTCCGTCCGTCCATCGGCGCCGGAGATCACATGCCGGAGAGCTGACACCATAAAGTAAAACTCTTGGTCTTGTGTCAATTTGTGGGTGATGCTACATTTTTTATTCTCTTGAAGTTGAGAATCTTGTACGGGTCTAGATTCTTGAGAGAATCTATTGAAGTAGTTAATGTTTGACATGGATAGAGTGGTGCTGATGATGATGGAGTGTGTGCGTATTTATATGTATATTTCCTTTTTGGGGATGTGGCTGGAACACGTGCACACGGGGTTAACCAGATTGTATGCCACGTGTGGAATAGTTTTGATTACTTATGTCAGCAGATATTGACGTGCCTATTTGGAAGACTTGGCCTTTGTAGGCGAATATAGTTAAAGGGGCTATCCACTTGACAGCGCAACATTCTTGTACTTCGGACTTGTAATCATCGGAACTTTCTGGAAGGACCATAGACGCTTCCTCTCCAGTTCCCACACACTATATATAGAAAGCTTCTTTATCTGCTGTTTTTTCGGTTTATAAACTAATTACTCTCCACTCTCAAATTTCTCTTTTATTTTTATACGTTCAGAAAAGATTTTTTTGATTATTTTATTCTTATTTATGTTTTATGATATAATCCTTCTTCATAAAATACTTACTCATCATTAATGTATTTATAATTTTCAAGAACAATTAATACTAAGAATAAAATTTAAAAATATAATTAATTTAGTCTTAAACTTCTAAAATAACTACTATATGGGATTAAAATGTAAAAGTTGGTTATTTGATGAATAATAATATTAATAAATAAATTATTGTGCAGTAATTAATAATATAAAGAGCAGAATAACTTATTCTGACAACATTTAAAATATTAATTTCAGATTAGCATTATTTATTATGAGAAAGAATTAATGTAAATGACTTGTGTTGATTGAATATATGACCAATTGTGCGAAATTCAATAACCCGGCGTCAATGATAAAACTTATATCTATATGACATTAACAATTTGTAAAGTGAAGCTATAAAAAAAATACAATCATAAATGTATATAAGATAAACAATATAGTCTATACTCAGATAATCCATTTGGAGTAGGACGAGTAATATCACACGAGGTTAGCCAGACTGTATGCCATGTGTAGGAGGACGGAATTGCTGAGCCACGTAATACTGAGGAAGTTCAGTGAATTGAGCTTTTATTAACTTGGCTCTTTCAGAAGATTCAGAATTACGTCAAATATAATCAATACTAGGTCCTCGCACTTGACAGCGCAACATCCTCGTATTCGGGAATTCGGACATGTAATCCTCGAAGGTTCTAGAACGAAGCTTAGAAGCTTCTACTTGAATTTGCACTCACTTTGGTTAGTGGCGGATCCATCCTATTTAATTTGGAGCCATAAACTAGAATTTCTATATAATTTTGTGAAGATTTTAATGTGTAGTGCAATGTGAACCCATGGTCAAAAATCGATGTTGGGTCGGCCTAGGTTCAGATCCTATGGCCACATATTTTATTTTGTTTTTACCTTTTCTTTTCTTTTGTTTTCTTCTCTTTCTTTTTTCTGCTTTATTACTATAAGTTGAGATTTATTTTTATCTTGAACTGCTCTGAGTTTGTTTTAATCCCTCCGTTCCAATTTATGTGAACCTATTTGACTGGGCATGGAGTTTAAGAAAATATAAAGACTTTTGAAATTTGTGGTCCTAAACAAGTCAAAAAAGAGCCCACAGTATTGTGTGGTTATAAAAGCTTCTCATTAAGGGTAGAATTATAAGTTAAAGCAAAATTATTTCTAAATTTAGAAAGGGGTCATTATTTTTAGAACGGATGGAGTAACATATCTAAATTGCATGATAAGACTTGCTTAATCATATTTTTAATACTAAAGATAGTTTGGTTTTGCTAAGCAATTCACATATAAAGAATTAGTTACATGCTATAAGGCTTTTGGATATTTTTGTGCTTCTTTTTGAGCTAAAACTTGAATAAGTTTCAACATTTGCTGCATTAATTTGTCATTAGCATTTTGCTTTTCCTCTTTATTTTAATATAGTAAAAATCGAATCGATTTAAAATTATATTATTTTAATAATTATTTAAAATTGATAATATTAATAATATAAAATAAAAATTTAAATTTACCAAGTGTGGAGTTTATTTCTTTAGATATCAGCAAAACTTATATCGTAAACACTAGTAATGCATCCATAGTCTTATAATTCTGGATCCGCGTCTGTTTGGTCGATATCCTATTATCAAGTAATTTTTAGTAATATTTTCTTTTTATTTTAACCATCGTATTTTGACTCTGTGTGTAGCATTTTCATTTATCGTATAATTTTTCTGGACCAGTGAGCCTACTAAATTATTTACATTTAAGCGCCACAATTCCGTTTAATCTCACTTTTACTTCACTGCTCTTATGCTGGCTAAATTTGCAATGCACATCGTCATTTTTACTTTTACTTATTCTAAGACCCTTATTTCTTAAGCGCTTCTCCACCATTCACGCTTTTGATTTACACCATCACTGGTTTCGTCAATTCTCATAGTATTGTTAGCAAATAAAGTACATCATATGACCTATTTTGTATTATATGCTGATTAGCTTATACAAAATTAGGGTAAACAAGTATCCTTGCGCAATGCCGATCACTAGTGTGAATCCACAATTACTGAGAACTTCATATTTTTAACTATTGTTCACACACTGGTGATGATGACTCCTTCATAAATATCTGTTGTGACGTTTATATATTAAATAAGATAACTATGTAATCTTGTACGGGTCTAGATTCTTCAAATTCGGACCTTTTTCATACATGTAGTGTAGTCTTTATTTTTAATGGCATAAAATACTTGTACAAAAGTTGGATCAGTTCACTAGAAAACTAATGTTTTGAATTTTTCTTTCAATCAAATATCAGAAAAATCTCTTTTTAATGCTAAATTGATTTTTATTAAAAAAAGTTGAAAAAAGAAATCCGAGCCACCTATTGTTTTTTCTCATAAAAATTGAAATAATTGCAACTCTACTACTTATAACCACAAAAAATACTCGAACAACATAATTTTCCTAAAAAACAAGCGGGAAAAAGAAGAAAAAGTCAAACAAGGAAAAAGAAACAGCGTCCATAAACTTAATAGAAACATCAGAGCGACATATCTTTGGTTATCCACTTGACAAGTCCATCATCTTCCAACGTGTCCCAAAAATCATCACCATTTTGCGTACTGCTTTCACCATTATCATCACCTGCCACTTTTACCTCTCCATTGTACAACCCGTTTTGGACTTGTAATTGATCTTCCACTACCAGTGGCAACTTATTATTATGATCAGTACTAACTGTAGTAGCATATTCTGAAATTGGGAAGTTGGTTTTGGCCTTTTCTCCTCTAAATTCAACAGCCTTCTTGTCATAAGCTCTAGCAGCTTCTTCAGCAGTAACAAAAGTACCAAGCCAAACTCGTTGCGCTTTATGTGGGTCTCGAATTTCTGCTGCCCATTTTCCCCACGGCCTCTGTCTCACTCCTCTGTATTCCTTCTTCGTATTTCTCCTTCTTTTCCTTCCCTTCTGCAACTCCAAATTCTCAGGCTTTACATGAAAAGAAGTACGACACGCTAGATAAGTGGTAGCTGACGCAGTTGGCTCCACAATGCTCCTACGTCGCAATATGGAAGCTGACGTGACTGCACTTGCATTTTCAACTTCCCGTAAAAGCTGAGCTGCTTCGCCGTCCGCCCGTCCATCGGCGCCGGAGATCACATGCCGGAGAGCTGACACCATAAAGTAAAACTCTTGGTCTTGTGTCAATGTGTGGTGATGGTACATTTTTTACTCTCTTGAAGTTGAGAATCTTGTACGGGTCTAGATTCTTGAGAGAATCTATTGTCCTTAAATTCGAAGTAGTTAATGTTTGACACGGATAAGGTGGTGCTGATGAGTCAAACGAGGATAGAGTGTGTGCGCGTATTTATATAGTTTCCTTTTTGGGGATGTGGCTGCAACACTGACTGCACATGAGTTAGCCAGATTGTATGCCACGTGTGGAAAAGTTTGAATACTTGAGGTTTAGGTCACATATAGTCAAAGGGCTTTCTACTTGACAGCGCAGCATTATAGTATTAGGACATGTTATCCTCGGAGGTTCTCGAAGGATCGTGGAAGCTTCTGCTTCGAGCTCGGACAACTATAAGATAAGCTTCTTTTGCTAGTTATTAGCGAGTTATTGATAAATAAATAAGTAAGTAATAATAAATGAATTATTGTGTAGTAATAATTTACTTCTTCGTTTCAATGCATATGAGGTATAGTTTGACTCAGCATCGAATTAAAAATAATAATTTAAATTTATGTTCATAGTGACTTTAAGAGGAAATAACTTTCTGAGGCCATGGTATTTGTGCAACGATAAAAGCTTTATCTTAATGATAAAATAAAATGTTTAATATTGAATTATTTATCAAATATAAATATTTATTATTCTTTTTTAAACGAGCTAATAAGAAAAAATGTGTCATGTAAATTTAAACAGATGGAGTAATTTTATGCGAGAGATACATATTTTAAAGATATTTTAAATATTAAATAAAGATCAACACGTCCTCTTGTCCACTTTAATTAATTTTTGGCTTTTTTCTTGTTGTCCACAATATTTTATTTTTTTCAGATATCAAGAAAGAATTAATTTCTTTCTTCCAAAGTTGTTGTCACGATCCAATTTCACCAATAGGTCGTGATGGCTCCCAAGCCAACTAGTGAATTAGACATATTATTCCTCTTTTAATAAGTTTCTGAGCAATTAAGCATTCCTTATTTGCAAGATTCAAGAAAATAAAAGATTTAAATAAATAAAACCAAAGTAATAATTCACTACCACAATTCTACTAGTGTGTGTGCCAAGACCTGGTGTCATAAGTGTATGAATATCTACTAGATTATACAAAATTCTAAATACTGTCTGAACATAAAATAGACAGAATACGAGTACGAAGAGAGACACTATAACGACCCGGCCGGTCGTTCTGAGAGTTACAGCCTCGTTTCCCCCATTTCTGCTTCTTTTTGTGATCTTCAGCTATATTATGATATATCGGGCTAGTTGGTTCGAGTCCGGGGTGGTTTCAGAGTGGATCGAGACACTTAGTCTCTAAAGTAGAAGTTTAAGTTGGAAAAGTTAATCGGACGTTGACTTATGTGTAAACGACCTCGCATTTGAATTTTGATGGTTCCGTTAGCTCCGTTAGGTGATTTTGGACTTAGGAGCGCGTCCAGAATGTGATTTGGAGGTTCGTGGTAGAATTAGGCTTGAATTTGGCGAAAGATAGAATTTTGGTGATTTTGGCCGGCAGTGAAAATTTTGATATCGGGGTCGGATTGGATTTCCGGAAGTTAGAGTAGGTTCGTGGCGTCATTTTAGACCTGTGTGCAAAATTTGAGGTCATTCAGACGTGATTTGGTAGGTTTCGGCATTATTGGTAGAATTCGGAAGTTTAAAAGTTCTTAAGCTTGAATCCGGGGGTAATTTGGTGTTTTGATATTGTTTTGTGTGATTCGAAGATTCGACTAAGTTCGTATGGTGTTTTAGGATTGGTTGGTATGTTTGGTTGAGGTCCCGGGGGCCTCAGGCGTGTTTCGGATGCTCAACGGGTCATTTTTGGACTTAGGGAGTTGGCAGATTTTCTGGTGTTATTGCAGACATTTTTCTTTATCGCGTTCGCGAGGGAGATCTCTCGATCGCGTAGGTCATCTGAGAGGTCAGCTAAAATTGCTCTTCGCATTCCCGAACATGAAGACGCGATCGCGTAAGGTTATCAGGCACTGCACCGCGAACACGTGGGCTAGGCCGCGTTCGCTAAGAAGAAGTGAGGCAGCAGTGGAGTTTGGGTGTTACTCTTCGGGGTCGCGTGAGGAAAATTGCGATCGCGTAGGTGTGAGCAGCTAGTGCATCGCATTCGCGTGAGGTGTTACGCGTTCGCGTAGAGTAAATTTCTAAGGGAGCGAAGTTGTTCTTCACGATCGCGAGGCCATTTCAGCGATCGCGATTAAGAAAATCTGGGTAGTAGTGTTAAATTTCAAAATCGAGGGTTTGAACCTATTTTTCATATTTTGAGCTAGAGACCACGGATTTAGGCGATATTTGAAGGGATTTTCAGGGAGTTGAATGGGGTAAGTATTTCTCACTTGGTTTTGGTTATATTCCATGATTATAACTTGATTTTTTATCATCTAAATTGTGATTTGGGGTGAAAAATTAGGAAAAAAGTGGAAGAGTTCTTGAGATGGAATTTTGAGGTTTTGGAGGGGATTTTGTTGTCAGATTTTGATAAATTTGGTATGACTAGACTCGTAAGTGAATGGGCTTTCAAGTTTTTTAAATTTTGTTGGATTTCAAGACGTGGGCCAGAGGGCCGGTTTTGAGCCAATTTCGGGATTTTGGTCTAAATTAGTAGTTTTCTTATGGAATTCATTCATTTAGCCTATATTGATCGTATTGTATTGCTTGTAGCTAGATTCGGGATGTTTGGAGGCCGATTCGAGAGGCAAGGGCATTGCGGGGTAGAGATTTGCTTGTATTGAGGTAAGTAATAATTGTAAATCTGGTCCTTAGGGTATGAAACCCCAGAATTTTGTATCATTTTACTATTTGGAGGTGGCGCACATGCTAGGTGACGGGCGTGTGGGCGTGCACCGTTGGGGATTGTGACTTGATCCGTCCCGTATCAACTGTAAAGTTGAATATTTTGTTGAAAGTATATGATTCTTATGTGTTTTAGAAAGAATTTCTGTAAATCAGGCTGGATGCCATGTTTAAGCCTTATGCCAGTGTTGTTTGGACCCTTAAAGGTCTTTTCTTGCTAGCCTCTTATTGTCTTCGATCGAAAATCTATACTCAGTCATATTTATACATATTTATAGCATAACTCAGTCTATATTACTCTATTTTGATGCATCATATAAATGTTGTTTGGGCTGAATACTTTTTTTTTTCCTGAGAGCCCGAGAGCCTGGAGAGGTTTATGATTGAGTGAGGCCAAGAGCCTGATTTGTGAGGATATTTATGGGATCGGGCTGCATGTCGCAGCATGTTTGATATAGGCTGAGGGCCTCATTGATTTATGCCGTGATTGGCTTGATATAGCGCTTGGGCTGAAGGAGCCCGTCCGGAGTCTATACACACCCCTAGTGAGCGCAGGTACCTACTGAGTGCGAGTGTCGAATGCTGAGTAACTGGGAGGCATGAGTGATGGTGAGGTCTGCCCGATGGGCTGTATACGAGTGATTGTGAGGTTGCCCAAGGGGCTGTATATGAGTGATGTTGCCCGAGGGGCTGATTATGATTTTATTATTTTTGCTCACCTTTGCATTGAGCTTTTGTTTGAAAACTGTTGAAAGATTTCTTTAAATAATTTTACTGGAACTGGATTTAAAAGAGCTGATTTGATTCGAACTCTGGTTTTAAAAGCATGTTGTATTTTACTGAATTTTTGTGATATGAACTTTACTTGCATTATTGCTCGTTACTACTTCTCAATCTTTATTTACTGTTGTTACTTACTGAGTTGGCATACTCACGTTACTCCCCGCATCTTGTGTGTAGATCCAAGCGTATCTGGACACGGTAGTGGCTGTTGACTATTCCGGTTGCAGATTTTCTCGGGGATAGCAAGGTAGCAGTTGCCTGGCGATCGCAACCCCGCTCCTCTCCCTCTTACCTTCCTTTAGTTATATTTAGCTATTTTCCAGACTATGTTAGTCTCGATATTGTCAGATAAATTATAGTAGATGCTCATGACTAGTGACACCCCGATGTCGGACTTTTCTTTTTCGCACTTTTGTTTTGATTTGAACTCCTTTACGAAGGTTTTTATGTTAAATAGCCTTGAAATTATTTTTGAAATGAAAATATCAGTTTGTTTTGGAAATGAGTCGGCTTGCCTAGTTCCACGCTAGGCGCCATCACGACAGGGTTAGTTTGGGTCGTGACAAATTGGTATAGGTGCTGCAGAACGTCTCAGGAAAAACAGCTCACCACTAGGCCTCGGGATATCGGGGATGCACACCGGTAGGACCGCCTAATGCACCTGTCTCAGAACCTGCACAAAAAGTGTAGCATGAGTACGTAAACAACGTGTACCCAGTAAGTATCAAGTCTAATATCGAAGAAGTAATGACGAGAGGTCGACTTCGACACTCACTATGGGTCAATAATTATTTAGACAAAATCTTAATATAATTACTAGATGTGTAAATAAATTCAAATCTTCTCAACAAGTAGGAGCAAATAATTCTTTCACAATTATAAAATTTTCAAATAAGTCATTCCTTTTAAAGGCTGTAATCTCACAAGCCATAACAAAATATCGAGACACCAAGTATTATTATTAAGCACGATTCATGCCGATGTCGTACGGTCCGATCCAGAGTGATATGTACACTGCTGAGGGACGTGCGACACGATCCATAGATGCATCTATCTACTACCGAGGCGTTCAGCCCGCTCCACAAGAAGAGAAGGATACTTTATAAGCATTTGACTTAACGCGATTAAGGATTTATATAGAAAGTAATACAAATTTCATTAACTACCTTTCACATTTATATAACAAGTTCTAATATAATTTAGGCGTTTTAATTTAACAAGTATGGTGCAAAAATTTCAAATAGTTCATGCATTGGGTCCTAAAACTACCCGGACATAAGTATAACTAGTATCTATACACGCACTCTCGTCACCTCGTACGTACGTAGCCCCCACAATTAGAAACAAATATCTATTTAGAACACCTATGATTATCCCTCTTACAAGGTTAGACAAGAGACTTACCTCGTCCTAGAGCTCACTTCCCGGTCACAATTTCGCATTAAAGTCTCAATTGGTGTCGAAAAATCCAAAACTAGCCAAATGTTATATAATTTAATCAATACATACTCAACAATTCAAAATTAAGTTATTAGATGAATTACCCAACCCAAATCAGAAAAATTCCTAAAATTCACCCCGGGCCCACGTGCTCGGATTCCGAAAATTTTCGGAGGAAATCGTCACCCATAACCTTAAGAACTCAAATATATAATTTTTCATCCCATTCCATAAACATTTTCATGGCTAAAATATCATTTTTATCAAAACCTAGGTTTTTCATCTAAACCTTTGATTTCCACAATTTACATGTTAAAATCTACCTATAATCTATGTATTTAACTCACAATAGGTAAAATTAACTTACCTCCAAGTTGCTAGGTGAATACCCCTCTCAAGAAGCTCCAAAATCGCCCAAGAATGGATAAAATGGGCTAAAAAATGGGTGAGCCCCGTTTTAAGACATTCTGCCCAGCAGGTATTTCGCACATGCGAAGCCACTGCCGCACCTGTGATTATGCTTCTACGGAAAAATCCTCGCAAGTGCGGTCCTCCCCAGCTGGCCAAACTCCGCACCTGCGAACCTAAGGACCGCTTCTGCGTGTCCGCTTCTGCGACGCTTCTTCCGAACGACGATCCAATATAAATATCATTAGGAATGGTGAAAAGGAATACATCAAGAATACAGTATATAAGGAAACATTAGGTGAGATACTCTTCGTTATATGATTATCATAAAACTATAGCAAGTAAAAAAAGACTATCGCAATTCGCAAAATTTGGTACAAAAAGAAGAACCCAAATTTTATCGCAAATTGATATCGACTAAGGATGAAGATTTCATATTTTTTGTTAAAATCGATATAAAAATTGAGAATACCGAGTCATAAGATATTTAATTATGGAGAAGTTACACGAAGTTAGAAAAGTTTGAGCAATTGAAATTGAAGACGAAGAGATAAACATCGAGAGAACAATCTAGAGGACCAAAAAATTTGAAGAAGACAACGACGACCCAATGTAATTATCATTGGAACGGTGGAAAGGAACACACAACAAGAATATCGTATATAAGAAATTATTAGTTTAGATACACTTACTTATATATCTAACATAAAACTAAAATAAGTAAAAGAAATCATAGATTCACACTATATACAATTATTTTGACCTCGACAAAAAGTAACGATCCATAATAATTATTCACATAAACTTATACTTTATTTTTTCAGGTATAATTTTCTACTCAAAATCTTTGTTGTGATACTATTGATTCTATTTTACAAAATCATGTCCTACATGATTTGGCATACATGTGCTAGTGATAAAATAAGAATATTGGACTTTAGCATCCGAATATTTTACTCTCATATAACATTGTTGGTATTATAATAATCCGTAGAACTTGCATTTTACTTCGATCGATATCCTATTATCACGTAATACTTTGGTAGCATTTCTCAATTGCAACCATCATATTTCGATTTAATATGCAATATCTTCATTTATCATAAAAATTGCTTCGATAATTGAGTCTAAATATCTAAATTGTTTGCTTTTAAGCGTCACAATCTCGTCTAATCTCACTTCTACGTCACTCTTCTTATGCTGACTACTTGCCGTGCACATCTTCAATCTTACTTTTACTTCTAAAACCACTATTTCTTAAGCATTTCTCTAAAGTTCAAGCGTTTGGTTTACACCATAGTTCGTTTTGTCAATTAACATAGTATTGTCAACAAATATCATAGATCATGTGACTAGCATCTTAATTGTTCATTTTATATAATTTTTTTTATTTATGTATTCTCTATATTTGTTTTCTTTCATTTATTCAGTTGGGAAAAGATAAAGTATTTACATAAATGTATACACAATATATGACAGAGCAGAGAGGAGGACAAGGGGAAAAAAGGACAAGCAACTTCAAAGTCGAAAAGTTGGTCTCGTTTAAAACTTCAAACTTAACAGTAGTATGATTTTGTACTAGTTTCCATAGCTGGTTTTCCTCATCATCCTCATAAACTCTTCTGCGCTTACTTCTCCATCACCTACATAAGAAAGACACATAAGTCCAGATTAGTACACTTAAGAAATGGATTAATACGACTGGAAAAGACATTTTACTTTATTAAGTATTGTTTACTTATTATGCCACTTTAAAGAAACCATCTTATGCCTAAATCATCTTGGTCTGCTTGGGGAAAAAAGAACTTACGATCGCGATCTGCTTCCTCAATCATTTCTTGTATCTCTCTTGCAGTGAAATTTTCACCCAATTCCTTGGCAATTTGCTGAATATCAGCAGCAGATATTTTTCCCTGCACTCTCATAACATGTCGAATTAGCATCATATAGAAAAATTAGAGTAGTACATTGTGAAAAGGACTTCACATTTTTATCTTGGTCTAGTATGTTAAATGCTTTGTGGAGCTCCTCTTTAGTGTCCCTTTCCCCTATCTTGGCAGTCATCATGTGTACAAATTCATCAAAATCGATCGCACCACTACCATCCTTATCGACATCAGCTATCATATGTTCAACTTGCTGAAAACAAAAGGTTTTTTACATGCAACAATATTAGTCATGCCATAAATCCAGCAACATGAAGAGGACGTAAACAAATATCAAATGATCAGTGTCTTTAAAAAATTACCTCCTCTGTCATTTCAAATCCAAGGGCCCTGCAATATAAGTTATTTAGCTCGTGATCATCAGATTAGAATAGATAATATAATTTGTATACATTTAGCAAAGTAATAACCAAACCTCATAGCAACATTCAGCTCCTTGGCATCAATAGTACCTGAAGAGGGTTAATTAAGTTAGAGAGATTGCACGCCTATATCAATCACAGTCAAACACATAAAAACTTTTTCAGTACCAGATCCATCAGTGTCAAACAGCTCAAACGCTTCTTTGATCTCTTGTCTTTTCTGCTGTGTCAGCCCAGGGTGACGGCTTCTAGTGTCCCTTCTTGAGATCTTTCTTGTTACGCTTGCCTAATCAGGTACACAGGTAAGTCAAATACAATTTGTTTTCAAGTAAAGAAAAAGTAGAATTGACACCGATATTTTTCTTTCATTTCAAATTTGTAAGATATACCGGTATAACCACAACACACAATAAGAGTTAACACATTTGCATCTTCCATACCAATTCACAATAATATTACTGGAGTAATCATCAGCCACAACATTAATTAACCTCTAAATTCTTTGCAAACTATATGCAAACAAGAGTGTATTGTAAAGTGCTTATGTAAACTATATGCAAGCCAAAAAGCTTAGGCACAAAGTAATTCTTAAAAGCTTCAGTTGCCAAGTCCCAACCTCATAAGAAAAATATTCTGGTACAATCAACAAGCATAAAATATGTTCTTGTTCAATAACCAATGACTAACCAGACAAGCAAAAGTGCAAGAATATAATATTGGCAGAGGATGTTATTTCATGGTATAGTTTCATCTCAACTGTTGCTAACATAAAAGGAAGACATAACAACATCATAAAGAATCATTCAGAATCTCTTCAAACCTCATGTGAACAATTATTTCAGTTTACCAAATTAAAGATCTTTTATTTTTCGTCTATTTTCAATCAAATAACTAATTGGCTTCTATTCACCCGCGTTTTATTTATTTTGGTTTTTCTCTTCTTTATCACCATAAACATAGAGGAAAAAGCGTTTTAAGGGTGATGAATATTAAATTACGTTTAAAGGGTTACAATTTCTCAAAACTGAAAAGGGCAAAACACCTAATATAAAAAGTAACCACTTTGCAATCGCATTGCAGCTTAGACGTCAAGATGATGAATACGTGGGAATAAAAACTTAGGATGGTACATTTATTGTAACGAACATCACAGGAATGGGGAAAAAAGTATAATAGCAGAAGCTAAAAATGTATTCTTTTCAAATAAAAGCACACCATAATTTATTGGAAGATCTTTCTCAAATCACTGTCGATGTCGTCGTCTCCTTTGTCAGATGGATGCAAATCCGAGACAGAGGAGGTTGATACTTGATATTTAATCCGAGTGGACGAAACGTACTCGTAATTAAAGCCCAATGGGCCAGTATTCTAAATTGACCACTTGACGCGTCGGGCCCTCTTAATGTAGGATCTTTTTAAAGTAGTATACTACACTAGTCACTAGAAATTCAAGGAAGAAAAAAGATGAAGGACGAAAGGGACTTAGTGGGCGTTTGGACATAAGAATTGTGAAATTTCGAAAAAAAATTAAATATTTTTTTCTGTGAAAATGATATTTGAAAATTTTGGAGCTATTTTTTAAATTTTGTGAGTGATTTGAAGTGCAAATTATAAGTTTTTTAAATCCCGAAATTTAACTTCAAGTGAAATTTGAAATTTTCATGACCAAGCACTAATTTCGAAAAAAGTAAAAAAAAAAAAGGAAAAAAAAATGAAACAATTTTTATGGCCAAACGGTCCTTAGTAGTTGAGAGACAGATGAGTAAAATTGTGGGTGGATAGTTTGATAAATAAAAAGTTACTTCTATCCTGAATTTTTTTTTTTTTTGCTTTTGCTTTTATTTTCACGAAAAAACAACAAATTTTTGCTTTCTCCAAGAAACATAAGATTTTTCTGCTACTATTGAGAATCACTTAACTTTAAGGCGAAATACCTTAATTCAGCACAATAAGTAGATTCCCTTTTTAATAAAGTATTTCTTGTTTCTCAAAAGCTTTGGTCAAATATGTAATATGCTAGGACAGTCCTACCTTCCTCGATTAACCATATGCGGAACTATTTTTGAAATGTGAACTTCATTGACAAAATATCGAGAGAGAGTAACGGCTATTACTTAGACTAACGCGAAAAGATTATTACTGAGAGGAAATTTCTTTAATTGGATAATTAACAACTGTCGGTAAAATGAACTGCCTACTTTCCATAACAACGCCAACAACAGGAATTTAAGCGCTGAGATCACTAACCAATGTTTGGTTAACTATCTGCCAGTAAAAAAAGGAAACGATAAAATGCAGGACCTTTGAATATCATACGGAAATCATAAATCATGATAAAAAACGTTCTTGTTCAATAACCAATTATTAACCAAACAAGCAAAAGTGCAAGAATCAAATATTGGCAAAGGATATATAGTTACATCTTCTATTATGCCGAATGTTATTTCATGGCATAGTTTAAAAGGAAGACATAACGACTTCATAAAAGAATCATTCAGAATCTCTTCAAACCTCATGTGAGCAATTATTTCAGTTGAACTAAATTAATGATCTTTTCTTTTTCTTCTATCTTCAATCCAAATAACTAATTGGCTTCTATTCGTCTACCTTTTATTTATTTTGGGTTTTCTCTTTTTTTATCACCAGAAACATAGAGAAGAAAGCGTTTAAGGGTGATGAATATTAAATTACGTTTAAAGGGTTACGATTTCTCAAAAGTGAAAAGGGAAAAACACCTAATATAAAAAGTCACCACTTTGCAATCGCATTGCTGCTTAGACGTCAAGATGATGAAGACGACGTAATATAAAATTAGGATGGGAATTGGGATACGTTTATCATAATAAACATCACAGAAATGGAAAAAGAGTATAATAATAGAAGTTACAATTCTATTCTTTTCAAATAAAAGCACACCATAATTTATTCGAAGGTCTTTCTCAATCACAGTCGCTGTCGTTTCCTTGTCCTTGTCCCTTTTGCCAGATGAATGCAAATCGACGAGACTCTGAGACATAGAAGAACTTGATATTTAATTGAAAAAATGATACTGTATANATTCTCTATGTTATATACAAAAATTATACAAATTGTATGCACTTTTTCTGCTATCAAATGTAAATAATTTCTGGCGCGGGCTAAAAGTGAAAAAAGCCCTTTAATTCGAGTGGGCGAAATCCTTGCAGACCGGAGTACTCGTTACTAAGCCCAATGGGCCAGTATCTAAATTGACCACTTGGACGCGTAGAGCCCCCTCTTATTGTAGGATTTTTCATAAAAGTAACTATTTTTCGATTAAAGGCTGAAAAGTGGCTTCCTGTGCTATTACTACGCACGTGTAATTTACTAGAAATTGGAAATAAATAAATAAATAAATAAAAACCATGAAGAAAGAAAAACACTTAGATATTGTTTTTATAGTTAGGAGTCAGGAGACAGATGGGTAAACTTACGAAGGAAAAGGTTAGTAAATATAAAATTTTGGTCAGAATAAAAATATATTTTTTGATTCTGCTTTTGTTTCCAAGGAGAAACTATAATTTCGATTTCCTCCCAACAATAGAAAAGTAATTTCTGCTTCTATCAAAAATCAATTCTTGATGAATTACTTAAAAGTTTTCTCCCAACAATAGAAAAATCAATTCTTTTAAAAGTTTGGTGAAATACTTAAGTCTCCAAAAATGAAGTACAATATTTCTTTTAGAAGTATTCTCCTACTTGTTTCTCCAAAGCTTAGTCAAACATGACTTGCTAGGGCCTAGGAGGACAGGTAATAAACACAGCATAAGATAATAATAGTTTAGATAAGAGTCAAAAATAAGAGAAGCAATTTTTGTGATTACTCTGAATTGTTTTTTATTCGTTATAGACCTGTCGTGTGAAAATGAGGGGGATACATANGCATCATTTGAAGGTCTGACAGGCTAGTAATTAATGTTATAAGTGGGCAGGTTCCACCGAACACAACTATATATATATATATGTCTCCTACTACTCCCCAAAAGAAGATTGACTACATATATCTAATCTCAATGATCTTTTCCTTACACATCTGATCCCTCTTAATTTGCCAGTTTCATCCTGTGTCAAAATTCTCTCAACAGACAATACAAACACAGAAATCAAACCAAAAGAAGTTGGGTGCATCATTTGAAGGTCTGACAGGCTAGTAATTAATGTTATAAGTGGGCAGGTTCCACCGAACACAACTATATATATATATATGTCTCCTACTACTCCCCAAAAGAAGATTGACTACATATATCTAATCTCAATGATCTTTTCCTTACACATCTGATCCCTCTTAATTTGCCAGTTTCATCCTGTGTCAAAATTCTCTCAACAGACAATACAAACACAGAAATCAAACCAAAAGAAGTTGGGTGCATCATTTGAAGGTCTGACAGGCTAGTAATTAATGTTATAAGTGGGCAGGTTCCACCGAATACAACTATATATATATATATATATATATGAAATCAACATGTTGCACATTAAAAAGGTAAATAATGTTGATCTTGCCACATATGCATGATGTTAAAATCATGACAAGACTTAATATCTTACACAATTTATCCCTACGTTAAGCTAGTGTCAAAAAAATTAAAGTTGGCAAACTACAAAGGAAATATACAAGACAAAATAAAGAACTTCAGGGCAGCTGATATAAGGATAAGGCATGGCCTGGGACGAAAATGCGTCGTAATTCAGGAATACACTAGGGTGAGATGAATGCAGAAGAATATATATATATAAATATTTATTATTAAAGATAATAATAATTAAGTTTTTTATTTTATTTAAGTAAAATATAAAAATAAAATTGAAAAGTACTTTATTCTTTCAAGATAATTTAAATATATCACAAAATCATTCAATAAATATGAAAATTCATCCCAAAAGTCATTTTATATTACTTAATAGTTTAAACTAAGTAAGGTTATTTTGGTATATATAATATTTTACAAAAAATATTTTTGGTAAGAAGAAAAGTCAAAACTGCTCAGCTTCTGCTTCTAGCCAAAAACACTTTTCCCCCAAAAATAAGCTTCGCTAAACACCCAAGGAAAAAACAATTTTTTGAAAAAAAAAAAAAAAATTTTGGCATGAGAAGCTTGGCAAAGAGGCTATTCTGGTGACTTCCAATTCCTTTTAAATATGAAACAAGAACTAACACTTAACCACCTTTTTTTCTCTTCCACTTGGCTCTTCTTTGGGAATTGGTTCACAAAAAGATAACGTGGGCTTGTGCGATTACTCGACTAAAAGGGAAAAGAATCTGAGACGAAATTTTTATCAATGGGTCATATAATCAATAACTATTGCTAAATTGAACAGCCTACTTTCCATAACAATATAATGCCAATATTTAAGTGCTGAGATTAAAGAAACACTGACCGATATGATGTTTGATTAATTAATTTGCGAGCACTAGCAATAATAATCTGTCAGCTAAAATGGAAATAATTAAATGATAACTTGCAGAACCCTGAAGTATCAAAACGAAATCATAAATCAGAAACCATTATTATGAGTTTTGACTACACACAAACCAACCGACCTTGCGGCAGTGGGATATGACTTGATAGTCCCCTATGTATATATTTCTTGTTTAATATGTTGGGGTTACTGCTCGTACTCTTAGTGGTAATCTAACCCCAATACTACTCATACTAAATACTCCCTTATTTCATAATCACTGAACTTGTAAACTAACAGGCACTAAAACAAAAGGATGAAGCTAATCTGCAGAATAAAGTCCATTCTCCAACTTCTCTTCATATTTGGATCACAATTTCAGTTGCAGATCTTGCTGCTCTCTCCAGTGGCCGAAGACAATTTCATCCAAGGCAAATTGTAGTCCACAGTTTTCGTCATTTTCCCATGGGACCCAGAAATATCAGCATTCTCGTCTGGACCCCTTTTTTTCTTGTTCTCTTTCAGTAACACACCAAATAGTTTCAGAGTATCACCCTTTTCGTCATCATCTTGATCATCGTTACTACCTTGTTCTTCTAAATCTTTAACAGCTCCAATTACCTCCTTGACCAACTCCCCATGGCTGGACCCTGAGGTTCCTTGGCTCATGATACGGTTGATCATGTCAGGTGCAACCTTCACATACTGATTCAAGAAAGCCACTAGCTCGTCACACTGTTTTTTGGCCTGCGCGAGCTCAGAGCTCAGCATCTGGTTGTCTTTCTTTAGCTTCTCGTTTTCGTCCGACAAGTCTGTGAATTGGGACTTTCCCGGGGTATCAACAGACCCCGGGTTCTTCGAGTCAGGGGAAGAGGTGGAACTTGAACCTAAGTCTTCCCCAGAA